AGTCGGAGACGCCTCCAATGACGTCACAGATGGTGCCGGTTTTTCGACGGTACACTTCCCGCCACCAGAACACAGGCCGTGTTCGACAAGAATTTTAATGCTATAAAACGAAGAAAAACTCGACATTCTTATTGTGGGGAAAGCAGATGCCCATACTTCAACTGTCGAATCATCTACTGTCGAAAAAACAACTAACAAAAATGGTAAGATTGTAGATTTTGATAGCCAATTTTGTTTGAGTGATCAACACTGAAGATAAGTTAATACCGCCGGCTTTGTAGAGAAACCTTTGAAAACAATTTCGAAAACAATTCGAAATACACGTAAGAATTTACTCAAAGATAGTATTTCCTTTTTCTCTTGTAACTAGAATCTTGAAATCCATAAAGCAAAGCATAGTTGAACACCTAAGAGCCGTGGCTTGTAATATTGAAAATGACAATATTGAAACTGACAATGAAAGGCCACATCGACATTCAAAAATATATGACGACGTCGAGATTATGACAATTATGACGACAAAGACTGGTTATAGTAGTGCTATATTATATAAGAACCACGTTAAGTGTTTAGTCTATTACAAACAAAAACAATGGACAATATTTATATCCTTAGGTCTAACTATGGTTTAGATGAAGAAGAATTGCTAAAAAAGGATAAGACCTCACATGGAAACACTGAATCATGTCTATTCGGAGAAAAGTTTATTGTATTCCAGAGCTGCTTATTAGAAATTTTCAAAAGTTGCCATGTATGCCAGAAAGAAGCTTAGCCATCTATCACTGAAAGGAGAGTGGTACTATGATCACATTGGAGGTCATATGACTGTATGTATCAATGGACATCACATAATTTGGAATACTAACCATGCCATGGCCTTATGTCTTGGGGGAATATGCTTTTAACAGCATCAAAACTGCTCACTGGAAGTAATCCAGCAATGGTTATCATTTTTTTCAAGAACACTGGGGTGTGGTATTTTTCACATAGGACATACTATTACATACAAAGGTTGTACCTTATTCCAGCTATTGATCAAACATAGCTGGCAGAGCAATATGAGATTTGACAAGTGTTGAGGGTGATTTTGTTGATCTTGGTAGGAATGGGAGATGTGACTCACCTGGCCATGATTTGTGSAAAATATAGAGCATACCACATGTTGTCACAGTACAGAATTGTACAGAATTTCACATGCTTTACTTGTGAATGAATTCATTTGTTTGGATTTAATAAAATATGAAAGTTTAAAATTCAGTATTCTATACTTTTACATGTCATGCCTAAGTTCTGTTCTTTATAGGCGGTAAGTATTGTTATTCAAATCAAAATTATTCCAATTCAAATAAAATACATTTGAATGACAACTGTTAAGGTGTTATATGGAAATATGAAAGTAGAGATTTCCTTTTTTTCAAGAATTTTATATGTCCAGGCAGAAATTCAGGTTGTTTTGTATCGGGTAGTCTAGTCCCAACCCCTTATCCTGTTATACATGTATAACAGGATAAGGGTAGTCTAGTCCCAACCCCTTATCCTGTTATACATGTATATACATGTCTAACAGGATAAGGGGTTGGGACTAGACTACCCGATGCAAAACAATCTGAATTTCTGCCTGGACATATAAATCCAAATTCTTGAAAAAAAGGAAATCTCTACTTTCATATTTCCATATAACACCTTAACAGTTGTCATTCAAATGTATTTTATTTGAACTGGAATAATTTTGATTTGAATAACAATACTTACCGCCTATAAAGAACAGAACTTAGGCATGACATRTAAAAGTATAGAATGCCAGAACTTTATTAGGAAGCAAAATAATTGTCCCAACAGATGGACTTTAAATATAATATCAGGTTCAAACTATAAGGTGGATGCTCTTAATTCCTCAGATATAAATACTGAAAGATAAAAATTATGCATGTGCTAAATTATGCTATAGTTTTCTATTCTATTTTCTCTAGCAAGTGTTTTGAAAAATTTTACTTGGCAGACACATTCTTGGGAAACGTGATATATGCACTCTAACCAAAAAGGTTTACAAATTTACAAAGCAAGTACTAACAATGACATTGACTTCATAATAAGACAGATAACAATAGCATTTAAATAATGATAATAATAAATATGTTTAATCATACCCTTCGCATTTGTGGTCGATGATAATAAATTTAAAAATACCTAGACAATTCAACAGATATTGTAAAAGGATTTTATTGCAGCTCATATAAGAGTGACAATTATACAAAGTTACAAGGTACGCAATAAATACTAGATGAAAAGAGAAGCATTAGACCATTGCAAGAATGACCTCTTTACCTTAGAAGTAGAGCCTCCTCTCAATACATGATAGAAGAAATGGTAATTCTACAGTTTGGTTAAATAACTCAGAAATAATCAAAGAAAATGAACATTATGACAATGAAGGACTACATTGAAATCACATTAAGTTAAAAACGTAATCAACATGCCTGTAGGCTGGCTTACAAATTTTCATAATGTGGATCTTAGCAYAGGTATAAGCTAGATAAGTTAGTGTGTAAGAACTGGCTGCTAGACAATGAGGCCCCGTCCACACTAAAGCGTTTTCGTTTGTATCCGTTTTCAATAGGTGTGAAAACGTATAGATTGAACTGCGTCCACACTAGCGTATTCAAGCGTWTCAGTGTGGACAGTTGAAAACACAAATACGGTCATATCGATCAAATTACATGTCTTCTGCGATAAAGAAAACTCAATAAAACCAGAAAATAACTGCTCAAGACGCTTTCACCTGGACAGATGATGAAGTTRAACTTCTGTTAACAGTTACAAACGAGTAGAAGGTYTCAAAACGCACGAAAGCGTGGATTGGGAGTCAGTCCAAAGCAAATGCAGTCATTCTCGAACGATTCAAAAAAACACATTCCATCGACAGAGGAAAAAAACTCCCAGTCTCTTTCATCTGGAAAAGACTTGCCACAAAGCAGACGATATTACTAAGAATATTTAACTACAAAACTTAAATCTATAAGACCAAGGGGAACGATGACGTCATCGTTTTCAAAAGGAATCGTTTTCGCTGTCCACACTGACCGGGATGCCGTAGCGTTTTCAAAACGCTTCACTTTCAACAGCGTTTTCAAAAGGCTCCGTTTTCGATGAAAACGCTCAGCGTTTTCGAGCGTATTAGTGTGGACAGAAGGGCAAAACGCATACTTTTCGATTCGTTTTCAAACGAAAACGCTCTAGTGTGGACGGGGCCTGAGGAGTTCATAACAAAATAACCTCAAAAACAGTTCATAACGAAACACTTTTCCGTAAATCTCACCAGCATTATAATCGCTTTCCTCTTCTGCGAACAGATTTACGTTTTTTTCATCTGTCGAGAAAGCGACAGAAAAATAGAGCTATTTTTCCTCACTTTCTCGGCGATTGAATAGTATCGTATTCCGAACTCGATTCTTCTTCGTCCGAATGATGGAAACTGGCGGTAAACTAGTGCTGCAATAGGCTCATATTGGTATGGACGAACTTCACTGGTCGTTCTTCTTGAGATATTATTATTTAAAACCTTATACTGTACGTAAAAATCAAACGAAGGAACCAACAAACAGCAATGCCACTGTTTGCCGAAACCACATCTCACCATCTGTGACGTCATCACTCGATTCCATTCCTCGCGCGGAAATATTGACGTTCTTCGGAGTGATTTCGGAAGTCCAAAAGTAATCGCTAAAAAAACTGAGGTAAAACTTGAAGAAATTTGCTCAAAATGAAAATATAACTTTCTCTTGACTTAAATTTCCATTTGAAATCGTAAAATTAGGATTGGTTTTTCCGTTGCATTTGACCTTTAAGTTTAATAACCAAAACGACTGATTCAGATTCAGTCGTCTTGGTTATTGTAACTTAACGTAATGATTTAGGGATCAATTTAGCCTAGCTGTGAAGCAAAATTGCAAGAATTCAATTCAAAGGTACATGTTGTACTTGTGAAAATGGTAGCCAAGAAATTTAATAATAAAAGAGAAATCCAAGAAAGTCCTTAAACAAGAAAGTTCTTAAACAAGTCTTACTGTAGTGTAATGTTGTTAACCTGCAGTTAKATTGTAATTGTGTTTGATAAGCACCCGATTCGCTCATTTTAAATGGGCTCGGCCCACATTATAAAATTTATAATCACGGGCAGAGGCCACTGCAGATTACAATCTAAGCAATCTCATTTCCACACAGCTACGTCATTGTCCTCACAACCAATAATTGTGTCATGTGCCCTCACGTTTAAATAACTTTCAGAACAAATATAGTCCGCCATTTTGAAAATGTCGAAAAGAAAGTTTTCTTTGAAGCCGCTAACGCTTAAAGTGCAATTTATAGGCAAAAAACGAAAAAGACAAGAAAACATTAGCCTTGATTTAGAAGAAACAAACAGTTTTAAGTCTACAGAACTCGATAAAGCGACGACGAGTTCTACGACGACAACGAGTACTGCAGTTATTACTACTTTTGACGATTATTTTAGTGTAGACGGAGATTCGAGGACTTACGAAAGTCGGAAATTSAAGGCTATTCAAAAGTGGGCCGAGCTGCGACAAACGCTGATCGATGCAGCAATAGAGGAACAATCAATTGCCACAAATACAATGTGCTCCGTGTGTTCTTCAAATGATGCTGAAGTTCGTTGCACATTCTGTGGACCACGGCAGTATTTTTGTCGCAGATGTGGAATTGAAGAACACAAGGAAAGGAATTATTTTCATGTAATGGAATTGTGGCAGGTAAAACTAAAACACACTATCGATTATTATTTATTGTACACAATTGTACTCAGTCATACTCTTCGTTATATAGGAAGGTATGTTTGTTCCTTTCTGGAACGAAGCGGTGATAAAACTGCCAAATCATCGTTGCAATTCACATGTGGAGGTGAAAGAAATGAACTTTATTGATCAACATGGTGAGTAAAATTAAGTCAATGTTAATCTGTTTGTGGATTATGGTGTGGACTGCCCGCAGGGGACTGATAAATTTTATTCTTCTTTTTCATAATTTTTTATTGTGAATATTAATGGACGGCCATTAATATTAATCTAGACCCAAGGGGGAGGGGTTAGAGCAGTTATTGTTCAATGAACTTTGCACGGTGTACATCATGCGTGCCTAGGCTCAGCCAATCGGGCTTAAGCATTAACACAGTATTTTGCAAATATTAGACACATTCTCGTGCTAGCATATCACATAGATAACGACAGAGCTATACTGCATTACGCAGGGAACTGATAAATTTTATTCTTCATTTTCATAATTTTTTATTCTGCTGATTTTTAGGTAATTACCATGTCAAGCGCGTCCAGTTTTGTAGCTGTGAAAGCTCTACAGCCACCCTGGTCAGGCTTCAGTTTTTGCCAGGCTCTCCAGAAAGACCACCAACAGCAATTCATTTGAAGCTAATGGAAATGTTGACGGTACACTTCATTCATTGTAAAGCGTCTTTAAAAGAACTATGCGAATCAATTGAGCTCCTCAAACCCAAACTCCAGCCCAAAACAGTGGGTACTACAATTTAACTTAAGCTTAGATTATGTATTGTAATAGTGATATTTCAGTTACTGATCACAATCAGCTGCTTAAAAATTATAATCAATTGTATATGTTTTAATCAATTATTATTTTAGATCTCATCAATATATTCAGTACTTAACTCTGGATCCTTTGAAGAGTACAGGTACATATAAAAACAGATGAATAATAATTAACAGCAAAAAAGATAAAAAATCTATAAGCACTTTATCAAGTCTTTTAAATCTTCAAAAACAAATTATTCTTCAGATATTTTAGGTATCAACTCAACTACTTATGCTCGTTGCGCTTCAATAGCTGCACGTCTTTTACGCTCTCTAGAAATCTATATCTTACAAGGTTTTATCCGACCTTTTTTCAGTTTTTCTTTTACCTAGTCCTATCAATATGGCATATAAGTTTTATTCGAGGGCATTTTTGTTGTCAGTTATGTCATCATTGGCACAAATTCCCCGTTTGGATGGAGCTACTTATCAAGTGATCAGGGACAATGGAATAGCCCGGAAAATTACACGTCGTGGATGCAGGGCTGGAGTTTACAAGAGATGACAAATTACTACAGTTATGGCTTTGGAGACCAACAATCATTACTCCTTAGCAAATGGTTTCAATCACAAATCTGCTTTGCCTTCAAAATCTAGTCATTTTGGATCCTTTGTTACTCCTGGAAATATGCAAATTCTGGATTCCGCATTCCATAGGGAGATGTTTGAAGTGAATAAAGAGCCAAGGAATGTCAACAATCTCATTCAAATTAAACCGGTGCCTCAAAAAACAGGGGTATTGTTACCATCGCGTTTTGGGCTATTAAATACAAGATCAATGGTGAAGAAAACAACACAGATTTGTGACTTGGTCATATCAAATCGGATTGATGTCTTAGCCCTTACAGAAACATGGCTAAATGGGACAGACAAACACTGCATCGCTGACATCTACAATACACTACCGCATTATTCATTCTTTCATGTTCCTCGATCTAGACGCAAAGGCGGGGGAGTTGGAATTCTTGTGAGGGATGGGTATAGTGTAGTTGAAAATCAACTGGAAGCCCATACGACGTTTGAATATCAAGATATTACTCTGTCTTACCGAGGTGAATCGCTTAGATTAGTCAACATCTACAGACCTCCATCGAACACTGCCTCAATTGATTGCTTCCTTGCTGAATTTTCATCAATTTTGGAACGTCTAACASTAATCAGATGTCCTCTTGTCATTTCTTGTGATTTCAACCTACATGTTGATGACCCTGGTTTAGAAGTCCACCGACAGATATTTCAAGATGCCTGTGCAAAATACAATGAAATGCTTATATCGTCAAAAACCGCATACTATTCTCAAAAACTCACTGAATCTGACCAACGCCAACTCTTTCATATGGTCACGCGGATGTTTCATAACAGGAAAACACCTCCTTTACCAGAGCATACTTCAAAAGAACAGTTAGTTGAAGATTTCAATATTTTCTTTACAGAAAAGATACAGGCAATTAGAGACGAGCTTGATGTTAAATCAAGTATGAYTCTTKCTACCACCAYTGAGATGACTGGATGTAAAACGTCATTGCTTAACTTTGTGCCTRCATCATTAGATGACGTGAAGGATCTGATTCTAAAATCACCAACCAAATCCTGTCCCCTCGACCCTATTCCGACACGTATGCTAAAGCAGATACCACAGCTGATACCAGTCATTACAAGAATCATCAATAACTCATTGCAAAGTGGGCAATTCCCAGCAGAGATGAAGTCATCTCTGGTTCGACCGACCCTCAAAAAGCCTGRTATTGATCAAAACAKCCTGTCTAATTATCGACCGATTTCCAACYTTCCATTTCTGGCCAAGACAATTGAGAGAGTTGTGTCTAACCAACTTTACAACTACTTGGAAAAGAATGACTTATTCCCTAAKMWGCAAWCAGCTTATAGACGTTACCAYTCTACAGAGACTGCCCTTATCAGAGTATCAAATGATATTTTGAGAGATCTTGATCAACAAAAGAGTGTAATACTGGTTATGTTAGATTTGTCATCAGCTTTTGATACGATAGATCACGACATTCTCCTGCTAAGGCTGGAAAAGCGGTTTGGCGTTGGTGGAGTAGCGTTAGAGTGGTTTAAGTCCTATCTTTCAGGTAGAAAACAATC